CGATATTGGAAAATTAGAAAAATCGAAGGAAAAGAAAAGATAAATAGAAATTGAATCTGTTTAATTCGTTTAGAACTGTGTTTCCGAGTCTCCAGGTAGAAATGCTGAAATAGTTGAATAAATCATCTTCCTGACCTAACCTTAGAATACCAAAGACCTGAGAGATATTTTGCGTTGATTACTGTAATTATCCAGACCAGAAATAGCAACCAGTATTCCAGGCTAGACCCAGAGGGTTTGTAATTAAAGCCTACACTCCCTTGGCTACTTATTGATTCCAGGTCGATTCAATACCATTGACCCCTGGATTATACTGTGGGTACCGAGGTAGGTATACCTCCTGTACCTTTCTCCACTGTTGTCCTTCCCGACTAAGTTGGGAGGAGCAGGTGAAGTAAATCACCTTTATCAAAAATCTGGCGCTCGAGAATCCCCCCTGTCAAATACCAGAGTAGTCTCCTGTCCTGAACAGAGTGTCAAAGTAAGGGCCGCAGAATAAAGACCCTTTACACTCTATTGACGGTAATGACACTAATGACGGATGACCACTATCTGCGAACCTCTTCATGCATCTTCTCGAATTCTCAACATTGTCATCATGGAACATTGACCCATAGTTCCCTTGCTATCATCACGAATACGGGCTCTAACCTGACTCACAATCAGCACCATATCTCGTTATGATGATCTGGAACTCTGTATCTTCGCCATTATGTACCTGTTCGTTGATTTGACACTAATTCCTTGTAAGTATGGGCGTTATAGGTTATGTTACATTGTGATAAAGGGTCATCGCACGGGAAGAAGATGATGACGTATTTCGCCCCACTTTTCAGGTCTACAATGGTCCTTAGTTGCGCATGCATGACCGCGTTTGAATATTTGAAGTTCCAAATCCAAACAATAATAACAGGCAATAATATATTCTGACTTGAAATAGATGGTGATTTAATGATATTCCTTCTTTTCTGATGGTCTAGATACCTCTCTTGATATTATCGACATATTTTTCACTACACTGGTGAGGTAGAAATACCATGGACAAGGTGTTCGCGGGGATGTCTCCCGCCTATAATTTTATATCGTCCGTGTGATTGATGTGTGTGGGAGTATAGGGGAAGATACACAAAAAAAAGGTGATCTTCCGGTGAGATGTGGCAAGGACAGCCCCTTCGATCGTGAGAGGCACCATTTTGTCTGCAGCAGTTCACCAGCTTGGTCACAAAAGTAAGCCGTGAGATCTGTTTCTTGAATAATTTCGAATTTGTCTAACATTCGATTTTCCATTACTCACTGTTGGGAATAATTAGGAAAATATCTCAAATTTGGGATATCCATCATCATCGCTGGGATGGAATTCCTGTAGCCTCTATAGAGGGATTCTTCGTGGCTGAAATCCAAGTGGCCGACGACGAGACTTGCTGTACCACCACTTCTGGAACCCACACACCATCCAAGGTACTATATGTTCTTTAAATCATCAGCTGCTTTATTTTCCTTTATTCCTTGTGTTGGTAAAATAACGCACGAAAGTCGTCATTCCATGTAGGGTTCCTTTTATCGGGCTAAAGCCTTCCCTCCCGATCGTCGCATTCGAGATTTGGGCCCCCTCAGCTCAGACCTGGGACTGTCTTGTAGTCGTCTGCAGTCAACGCTACGCTGCTTCAATTCGCGTTTTTTGGGCCTGCTTGTTTGTGGCTGAAGGGCGACATACAGGAGACACCGCCTGACTTCACCTGATCCCCCTGTACATCAGAACCAGATGATACACATCAGGACCTGCTCATAATTTGGTGAGTTCGTTCCATGCACCATAAGGGAAAATATTTTACTTGGGATAAACTACCACCAACCATAATTTATCAGTTTGAAATTTCATTCAACATAATATAATTGCAATATGTCATTGATTTAATATACACACAGTCCATACTGTCTCAGAGAGTTGATTTTGAGCAGTTATTGTATTATTTCACACTGATCTGAAGAGTTGATTTCAGTCAGTCAATTTATATTTCTTGTTGTTGCAATAATTGTACACTGCTTAGGTAATATTGATATTGATACTCAGTTACTTTGAAGTCTTGAGCCATCTAGTAACATTTGAAGCACATTATTCGTCATTTCAGAATTTACTTGTTATTAAAAGCATATTCATCCCTATCAAACTTAGTATTTTACTAAGCCTAACGTACCCACCCATTTGTCCCGCTGAACTATACCAGTGTCTAGTTTTTACGGTATCAAACCGGGCACTAAAAACACTTTTCTGTTGTCAATACAATTAAGATTTAAAACACCTAGTAAATCTTAGGTAATCCATCAACCAAACTCAGGGGTAAATATAATTCTATTCCATTTTTTTTTACTACTCACCCCATGAGATTGAAAGGCATAACATATTTCTCGAATATTTCAACTGTGACTGTGAATAACTTATGTTTTGAACAGTTTTTAACATACTTCATGTGTTGTCTGTAATAAACATTGAAAATTATATTTTATATCTGATTAGATTTTGTGTTTTTCATCGTGTTCCATATGGAACACTAGGCTTTTAGGATGTTGAATGTGTTCATAGTTTGTCAGTCCAAGACATTCATTCAACTCATTGATGACCTACCAGAAGACAGAACATGTGTGTCATATAAGTTCTATCTCGACAATTCATACACTTCTGTGAAATTTCTTCAATTTCTGATGCAATGACGCTATGATGGTTCTGGCACAGAGCAAGAAAATAGGATTTCTCGTTATTGTCCAATAACTGAGGATGATGAATGAAGCGAGAAAACGTGGTGGATTTGATTACGCCTTATGTTCTACGGTGATGCATCAATTTTGGTTGCTTGGTGGATGGACAATTCAGTTGTAACTGTTGCATCGACCATACACTCAGTTTATTCTTCTCTAACGCGCAAAAAATGGAATGGACTCGCTGCATACAAAATTACAATGAGAACATTGGAGGAACAGACTAGATGGACGCGAATATGAATTTCTACATTATTTTACAATTTTCACCTGGCTAAATTTCACCAGGAAATTCATCAGTTCAGTTTCAGAAGAGAAATTTCAACTGAAGAAGTTCCTCAATTTAACGAAGTCATCGGCAAGACCACCAAGATATTCAACAAATTCTGAAATAACTGTAGATATTCGCTTCGCATTGACTGTAGTAATCACCACGTTGAACATGTACCAAATAATAAACGACGACGATGTCTAGGACACCATCATCAGGCAGCTCTGTTCGCACATAGTGTCGAAAATGCGACGTCTGTCTATTTATTGACTATTTTATTCATTTTCTTACGAAATAACCTCATTCGTTTTCGAATTATGGAAATATAATACATTTCGAGATGGAAACAATATTTCATTCCATTTTCCACATATTAATGAACTAGTGTTCCATCTATGACACTGCCGCCATTTTGAAAATGGCAGACAAAAGGGAATGTATCTCGATAAACTGATGTTCATAATATACTTTCAAGCAAGAGTAGAGAAAATATATTGAAATTTTCGCAAATGTATTGATTCAGTCCCTTATTATGGTTAATATATCTTGCGACTTGTGACAAATTAGCTACAACTTGTAATGAAAGACGAAATATTGATATCTATCAGAATATTGAATGTTCAGGTGATGCCAACATTCAAAAGGTTACCATTTGGCAGGAATTGAAAGAAACCCTAAGTAGAAATTATATAGGTTAACGTGATAAAGATTGTTTGGATTCGGACCTAATTATCATGAGACAACAACACATCGAATGGCCCCAACATATTGCTCACATATTGATAGTTAGTGACGCCAGAAACGAATTTATCAGAACATAACGTCTACAATAATCTGACTGTGACTTCACTTAACTGAAGTCTTCAGACAACCGGCAGATAAAGAACGTTTTCAAACCAACAATAATGTGTACAAGTCGATAAATATTGATTCGTCATCAAACATCTCCATTTAATCAGTATTTATAGAGCACCGCAAAAACAACATGGAGAACTTTATAACACAGAAATCGATAATATTGACACAAATTACCCTTATAATATATTCTACCCGTACTAATGGAAATTCAGACATTTTATCAGGTTATGTCATTTTTTTCTGGAATCCAGTCATACCCAGTTTAGGAATATGACTTCTGCATAATCCAGTGATTTTTTACTGAACCATGTCTTGATTTCTCGAAAGTGATATCATAGATTAAGATGGTAATATGATATTGGTTGTATTTTTATATTCCAGCAGAGCAAACCTGGAATCTGAGTAGGTTTCATGAGCAATTCATATTTTGATTCGAATTTGTTTCAGTCCAAGACTAGTTTAGTTCTTAACCTACTTTGATAACTACGAATATTAGCTGGAAATCGATATTCTCACTGATCATACTGATTGACCTATTCACCATAATAGACAACATACAAAAAGGCTGAAATGGAAATGAATTGACTTTTGACAGTTGACAAGGTTACATTGTCCTAGAAAAAAAATCACCCCCCTATCTTATCTTGTGTTTACGCATGTAAGCTACGTTATGAGGTGGTGAAATGGAAACGTTGCACCAATAACATGACAATCTAATAATAAATCTAATAATATTCATCTCAATATTGATGCAACGTCTCATAATCGTGTTTCTTCATGATATTACTTCAGAAGGACATTATCGCAAAGTTATTTCAACAATATCACATAACTTATATGTGGAGAATATTTTTGTTATTTATCATGTTAAGTGGGTACTGTATGATGATATGATTCGAGGAGATGCACTTTGACCGTCGATTGATCGAATACGTTGTTGTCAATTCGTCTCTTTGTCTCTGGTCATTATCAAGGATTTAAATATTATCAGACCATTGGTGCTAGTGATCCACCGCCTCAGGGTCTACACCAATGAAAAACAAAATCGAACACTTCCACACTATCCACTTTATTCTTAACTGGAATGTACCGAGCGTTATCTATTTAGCGAACGAAATTTTGTCAACAGTCGAGTCGTCAATCTCGAGAGTTGTGAGTAGTAGTAGGTAGGTGGTACTCAAGATAAAAAATCGAAGAATTCAACAAAGATGGGACCAACTCTTTACATGCTCCCCGCAAGTTGTCCTGTCAGATCTGTTCTAATGTGTGCTAAGGCCATCGGGGTGGACCTGAATTCCATAAAGGTCGATTTGTTAGCAGGAGATCATCTCAAGCCGGAATTCCTCAAGGTAATCAATAGGAGTTTGAAAGACTGAGAAGACATACTTTCTTCTACTAGCCGACAAGAGGAGTTCGGGTTTTTTCTGAACGCTAGTAGAAAAAATAGTGCACCTCAGATTACTACGCCAATAAACGCAATGGGCATAAAATACTCATCAAATAACACTAATCTGATTGTATCAGGTGATGGAATTACTTCGTGAGATTCAAGCTTTCTTGTCATATATGTCAAACAATTGAGGGATTCAAATAAACAGTATCTTATTCAACACGAATTTAATAAGGTTAATTGTCGCTTTTCGTCGACCAAAAGATTAACAATATTTATCTTATATTATAGTGATGCGGATGTACCTATCGCAATAAATAATCTGATTTCTGTGACGAGACAAGAGTTTGACATTTCATCTCTGTTGATAGGTTATGAAATGTCACTCTTCATTTATAACTTCCTTCCCACAGGAAAACAGTGAGTATTTTTTTCGCGGATGTACCGGGTGACATAGGAGACATGTACCAGCCTGTAGTTTTTATATTCAAAGAGATACAAATTTCAAATTCACAACAGTTATATTATCGATGTTGGCGCTTTCCTTGAACCTAATGACTATTTTCTTCAACCACATGTTTGATCCGTAGTACTCCCAACTTTTATTTCCAAATGACACCCTGTATATTTCTGTAGCCTATCTTATTGGCCTTGAAGATAAGAGATGGCATAGCTGAGGTGGTAAGCCGTATGATGGTAGTTTGTGGAGGAGTCCTTCGTGCCAAACACGGTCAAATGCTTTCGATATGTTCAACGTGACAGCTAGAGATTCCCCGTGTTTTTCTGATGAAGCTTGCCATAAATGGGTGACGTAGGCAAGTAGATCTCCAGTAGATCTTCGGTGGCGAATACCTGAGCTCTCCAGATATTTGATAAGTTCAATGTTGATGGCTTTCTCCATCACTTTGGAGATTACTGATAACAGGGCAATGGGCCTGTAGTTGTTGGGCAGGTTCTTGTTCCCTTTTGTAGGGATTGGTTGGACTCTAGCTGTCTTCCAGCATGATGGAAAAATACCCAACCTGTACGAGACGGTAAACAACTTGCAGAGAATCGGTGTTAATTCTGGTGCACATTCTTTGAGGATAATGGGTGGAATTCCATTAGGACCGTTAGCCTCATTAGTTTTGAGACCAAGCAAAATTGGTCTGATAGTGCGTTGACGGAAGACGATTTCGGGCATTCGACTCTCAACCGGTGGAATGTCTGGCGGCACTTTTCCTTGGGAATCTAAAGTAGAGTTTGCTGCGAACATCTCTGCAGAAATATTTGCTTTCTCCTGCGATGTTGTTGCTAATGTGCCGTCGGATTTAGACAGTGGTGAAAATGAACTTTTAGTGAAATTTCTCCCGACCGCTTTAGCAAGGGGCCAAAACGAACGAGAGCCATTGGGACAATCTATGAGTTTCGATCTTATCTTGGCATTGTATGTTTCTTTCAAAGCATCTATTGTTTGGCTGCAGTTATTCCTGGCATCAACGTATTCTGCTCTAGTCGCGAGGTTAGGGTTTTTGCGCCAGCGGTGGTTGGCTGTTTGTTTCAAGGCAACAGTTCTTAAACAGTTCTTGTTGAACCAGGGTTTCGATGATGATGATCTTTTCGAAGAATGAGGTATGTATGTGTCCATTCCGACCATGATGATCTCGGATATTTCTGCAGCACACTGTGAAGGGTCCTCAAAGTCAAAGCATACTCTATGCCAAGGAAACTCGGAGAAAAACATGCGGAGACCGTCTCAATCTCCTGAATTGTAATGCCATATAAGACGTGGGGGTGCCGGAGCAGTTGATGGAATGAAGAATGGGCAGGTTGTGGAGATGAGTGTGTGGTCAGAATTGCCAAGTGGAGCTCGTAAATTTATGGTGTAGGGTGCTGAATTATTAGTGAGGAATAAGTCAAGTATGTTAGCTGAATGATTATTACAGTGTACGAGCCAAGCAGTGTTGTGTACATTGAAATCGCCCATGATGATGATTTCTGCTGCTGGATGGTACAGAACAGTTCGCATCTTCCTTTTCAATTGTAAATTGAATGTATACTTAGAAACATGCTTAAGATCAGTACAAAAAAACTGGGATCGTATCAGTGATTTTTGCAATCTGAACTTGGAAAGTTGTCTAACAATTTTAAAATTCCTTTATGATAACACATTTTTTTCATTTGATAAAAAACTTTTCGAACAAGTTTTTGGCACTCCCATTGGTGCATCAATTTCTCCAATTTTAGCAGCCTATGTCATGGATGATCTATTAGATACTGTGATTCCTGTTTTATCAGTTAAACCCTTATTTTTAAAAAAATATGTGGATGACATCATCTTAGCAATCCCAGAAAAAAGTATTGATGAGGTTCTTTTTACATTCAACAGCTATGACCCACACATTCAATTTACAATTGAAAAGGAAGATGCGAACTGTTCTGTACCTTTTGTCGACACAAAATTCATTCGCACTAACGAGAACAAGATCCTGATTGACTGGTACAGGAAACCTTGCAGCTCTGGCAGGTACATGAACTTCGAATCGTACCACAAAAGATCTATGAAAGTAAACTTGGTCAAGCAAATGAAAAACAGAGTGATGAGAACCTCAGACAATACTTTCCATAATAAAAATTTGAAAATTCTTTTACAACTTTTCGTTGACAACTCATACCCGGTCAAATTAGTAAAGTCAATATTATTTAATGCACCATCCATTGATCAACCTGACAATTCAATTAACAACCCAGATCCACAACAAAATGCAACAATCCCTGAGACAATTCCAGCGCCAATCATTTTCACTTCACTACCCTATATAAGAGAGATAACACCACAACTGACCAGACTATTTCCATCAACAGGTAACTTAAAAATAGCATACAGAACAGTAGTAACTATCAAATCCTTGCACACTAAAATCAAAGATAAAGTGCCCTTGTCATCTAACACAAATGTAATTTATAGTATTCCTTGCCATGATTGTAATAACCAATATATAGGCCAAACATCGAGGTCACTATCCAACAGAATAATCTCACATAGAAGTGATTGCAGACTGCACCCAGAAAGATGTGCACTTGCAGAACATGTGAATAAATATGATCACCATATGAATTTCGATGCTGTTAAAATCCTATCACGAGGAAACATCTGATGAAAAGAACCTTCTTAGAGATGGCTTTTATATCACAATGCAATAATTGCATAAATAAAAAAACAGATATTAATCATTTGATTGAGATTTATTCCTTTTTACTGTCTTTAGATAACTCATAATCATTTCAAATACCAGTTTTCAACGTTGGTACGCATTGTATGTTGGTACCTCTGTTGTGCATTTTTGACATGACAATTGTCTTCACACACACTGTCATATGTCAGTCATATTCATTTTTCAAAAAAAACTCATTTCCCGGTACCATTTGCAATAACCTTATCTGCTCAAATCATAGAAATCATCCATTTTTCTCAAAGTGGATCCAATTGATTTTAAAGAAAAAGCAATGAAAATCCGGTCGACAGACTGGGATTTTCATTGCTTTTTCTTTATAACCTTATCTGCCAACAATTCCAACCATGTGGTGGAAGATGTGACTTTTAACTTAGTTTTATAATGTTTTAACGTGTGTTATTCAATGTAATGTACTATGAAATCAAGGAAATCAATGAGCCCTTCAAAAAAAAACTAGTGAAAAATTTGGACGCAGCATCATTTCCTCCGTGTAAGGCTGAACTGAAACAACAGATATTGAGAACGATGTACATCGCTATAAATTGGAGGAATGCACATAAGAAAATCTCTACATGTTTAACTCCCATCGATTTTGGATGGATGCGAGTCATTGATGATGAATATGATTTCAAATGATTCGAAGGACCCCAGGCTGAAGAAGATTGAAAAATGATGCTTAATTCACTCCCAATAATTTCACATTGTAGCTCAAGTGTTCTCTCATTATATGTGTAAACGACAATTATCATATGTATAGTAAGGTTTGAAAACTTTGCACCATATGGAAATCATTTTACGCTCACTTTTCAGAGAATTCTATCCTGATGGAAGTTGATGGTGAAGCACAATCTGTAATCTGGAATGTACGTAAAACTATTGTAGATTCACTAAGGTATATTTGTTAGTTATTTTATCATATGTTCCACGCTGTATGTCTATCGATGTTCAAAAACAATCTATTCATACATACCGATGTTCTTAGTGTATCTACACAATATCAGTGATATATAAAAACAAAATTGAAGTATTGAGAATTAAATATATATTTTATAACTTGGGAGATACTCGTTGGTTTTTAAAAAATACACTTTATTTCGACCTGAAATGTATCTTTGATCGAGACTTACTTAATTTTGATGTGTTCGAATTGAAAGCTCATTCTAGTCTGTTGATTCCCAGTCGTGAATATGCATTCAAGACTGTTATCTTCAGAAAATGCTGAAAATGCGCCTCGCGACTTCTCTAGAATCGCGTGGGCAGATTAATCTCATATGATTATATCAAGAAGTGAATTATTTTATAAGTTCAAATGGAATGTCAGGATATAACACCTCCCCCATTAAGATTTTTTCTTAATCTGAAAAATCAATGAATGATTGAGAAAAAATTAAGAATTATTAATATTGAAATAACTTTGAAATAGTCTCGATGGAAGATTATGAAAAATACAATAATAATATATCAATACAGGGTGAGTAAATAAAATAAACATGAATACAATAAAATAGAAAAATCTTCCTTGGCTAAATCCTCTTCGGATTTCTTCTGGATGAAGATGCGATAGGGGCTGTTGGATTCTGCTGGAAAACGATTTCTTCGGATGAATCGTTGAAGGTAGATAAATGAATCGATGGCCATCTCCAAAACATTCGATCTTACGTTGCAATAGTTGAATATTTGTGGAAAGCATCTTCCGGGTTGGTTTCCGTCATCTGAGTTGGATCGGCTATTGTAGTATCCCAGA